AGGGAGAGCAAAGGCGGCAAAATGATTTCCAAAGCTGAGAGTATTTGCCTCTTCAGCCGCGGTACCGACAGGGTCTGTGGAAGAGCATAAAAGGAAGCAATAATGATGGAAGAGGACTTTATGATCGGTGGTTCACTGGTATAAATACTAGTACTAGTACTATATATTTATCTATAAATATTTGGTGCAATAACGATGGGGGAGGACTTTGATCGGTGGTTCACTAGTATAAATACTAGTGCTAGTACGAACATGTAATGGTAACGAATTAGTGGATTTTTTTGGGTACAAGTCTTCTCTTCAGTTTAACGGCAAAGTCCGATGTGGATCTTTGGGATAGATATTCTTATGTCAATATTAATTTGGTTTATCTTAAAAAATTATTAAAAAAAATTTTAAATTGGTTTTAATTATCTTTTAAAATGACTTTTTGAGATATTTATAAACCTTAATAAGACATTTACGTGATTTACTTAATGAGTTAATTCGAGTATGATATGTCCATTCAAGCAATGATCTCAATAATGAGAGATTGGGTGCGGACCTACCTAATGTGGCTATCATGCAACTATACAATCGAAAAAAACTAAACTTACACCTTATTTCGATCATTAAAGAAATGTAGCAATATATTTGAGGCCTCTAACCTTGGACATATCCTTACAAAACAGCAGCATAGTATTAATAGTTTAGTTTTTATGGGTGACGTGTTTGAATTTTATGAAATTATTTTTTTTTCTCAATTAATATTTATAAATAATTTTAATTTGTTTAAAAAAAATTTAGTGTTAGTACTATATATTTATCTATAAATACTTGGAGCAGTGATGATGGAGGACTTTATAATCGGTGGTTCACTAGTATAAATATTAGTGCCAGTACCATACATTTATGTATAAATATATTAATCACATGGCTTGTTAATCTTAATAAAAACATTTAATATTTAATAAAAGGGGTCTATGGAAGAGCATAAAAAGGGGCAATAATGATGGAGGAGGACTTTATGATCGGTGGTTCACTAGTATAAATACCAGTACTAGAGTATGTTTGGTGTGATTTGTGGAAGGTTTAATTTTTTTAGTACTGTTATGAGTAATAAGTTTAAATTTTTATTGGAGGGAAAATAAAGCTTTAGTTTTTAAAAATATGAAAAAGT